GGAAGATGGCTGAAGATGGCTCAGTGCTTACTTTGCCTATTCCCACAGCCTGTCCCAAGATGTGTAATAAGTCTCCTTTCTCTGCCTTTCGCCATGCATGTGTATTTGGCATGTAGTGGTGAGTGGCCAGACCTGACATGTGGAAGGCCAGGAGTTTGGGCAGAGGGTCCAAAACTTAAGTTTTGAAGTCACCAAAGTGACACTTCCATTTTCTCAGAAGGGATGTTCTCAGCTCCTTCATGCATTTAACACCTCCCAGACCCCCATAAGCGCATCTCCCCTAAAACCCAGCTCTGACAGCAAGCCTTTGACCTTCTGTGAGCTAGGAGGGTGTAGAAGGTGGAGGTGCTCTGCCCTGCCGAATGCTGGGTCACTTTTCACCATACTCTTGTTTTTCCTGTTTTCCCTCTCTCAGGTCCCTCTTCCTCTTTCCCCAAATCTGGATCTGCCTCGCATCCCCTAAATCCCTAGGGCTGCATTCTCCCAGCAGCCTCCAGGCCACCCCAGCTAAGGGGTTTCCTTGGGATATGAGGGAGGTGGGGTCCCCCCGCCCAAGTCCCCTAGGCTGTCTGGCCTTCGCTGTCTGGATTGGTCGGTGGGCCAGAGGCGCGGTGGTCCCTCCCCCTGGTTGCCAGGACCCAGCCTATCCACGTCCAAGCGGGCCTCGGTCTCTGAACGGTTGGGGTGGGGGGTCGCAGCAGGTGCGTGAGCATGTGTAGGGGTCTCTGGGGGTCCATGAGGGATTTTCCCGCCAAGCCCCTCTAGTTGGGGCTCGGGTGGCCAGGCACAAATGCGGAAACAGGCCTCCCCGGGGTCTCAGAGAGGCCGCCCCTGTCTCCGACGCGCGCCTCTCTCCCACCCCTCGGCGCGCTCCCGCCTGTCGCACTTCGGGGTTTGGACCGAGTGCGCGCGGCAGAGGGGCGGGGCCGCCGGGCTCCCCGGGCGCAGCCGCCTGCGGCCCCCTCCTGTCGCTTTCCCGCCGCTCGCGGTCGCCGCCGTGCTCCGGCCGAGCCCCACCCCAGGCGACCCTGCGCAGAGCGGCGAGAGGCCGGAGCCGAAGGTGAGCGTGATGCGAGCAGGTGGAGGGACTGGGCGCGGGCCAGGGCCGGGCTGGGGGAGGGGTCGGGCCGGAATCGCGGCTCTTTGTCTCCCCCGGAGCCCGTTCGCGGGCCTCGGGGCTGCTCTTCCTCCTGGCAGGTGCTGGCATCCCTCGGGGAGGGTGGGGGAGGGCTCTGGGGTTGGCGAAGATACCCCGGCGTGCGCTCGGGTCCCCAGCGTCTGGAGTCTGAGTCTGCCCCCTGTTCGCGAGGCTGGTCATCTAGTTCCAGAGGGGCGAGGGGTAGGGGCGTGGATATTGTTCCTAAAAGGTAGCTGAGGCGAGGGAGGGGGACCAGCAGGGCTTCTCGGCTTTGGGAATGGCAGTGGGTGTGGGATTTGAGGACATGGCTGAGCAGCCAGGCTGGTGAGCGGGCGTGGGTGGGCGAGGAAAATGAATCCAGGCCCTGACTGAGGTTTAGGCGCCCATGGGTGGAGAAGCTGGAGAAAGGGCAGCAAGGTACCAGAATCCATCTCTACAGTCAGCGTAGCGGTCCGGGACCTGGGATGCTGATCCGTGTGTCTGCTCATCAGGTACGGGATGGACAAGAGGGATAAGCCCAAGGGAGGGGCCGCTGCGCGGACGCCAGCTTCTCGTCCCCCTGGCCTTCCGACTCCTAGGCCCCCAGGGTCTCCTCGGCCTCCTCCCCCAGTAACCACTGCAGCCCTTAAACTTCTGGGAGCAGCAGGAGCTTTGGGGCGAAGGCCCCAGACAGAGCGAGCCGTTGGCGGCGGCAGAGCCGCCCCTCCACAGGCTGCTGCCGGAGTAGGACCGACACGGAGCGCTGTGGCAGGTCCCCGGAGCCCAGGTACCCAGTTCCGACCCCATCTTTTCCTCTCCCCCTTCTTGAAGGGACTCTTCTTTCTCAGGCACCATTGACTTGATCTTCTCCCTGTAGCCTCCAGACCCCTAGCTGCTGGGAGAGGGGAGAAAGCCCCAGCCAAGAGCCCCAGCCAGGCCTCTATCTCTAGCCCCGGGCGTGCCAGCGGGACTACCAGGTAACATGCCCCCTCACTTAGTCTACTAAGGAAGGGTTAGAGTAACAATCTGGAACCTGGAACTTTTAAAAAAATTTTTTTAAATGGGACTTGGGGGTTGAACTCAGGGTTTCATGTATGCAAAGCAGGTGCTCTACCGCGTGAGCCATACCTCCAGTCAGTCCATTTTGCTTTGGTTATTTTGGAGATGGGGGTCTTCTGACCTATGGGCTGGCCTCAAACAACGATCTTCCCCATCTCAACCTCCCAAGTAGATAGGATTACAAGCGTGAGCCACTGGGGCCCTGTGTACCATCTGGAACTTAAAAAAATTACACATAGGGGATTACTTGCAGATCAGGGGTGCAAATTGGGTGAGACTTATTATTGGTCCGTAGAGAAGGTATGTGCCCCATTTTACAGCTGGGAAAATGTAAACTTGGGAGGTCCAACAAGAGCTGGTCCTTCCTGTCCACAGGCCAGGCCATGTTGGTCAGAAGGGACCCCGTCCACCCTCTGAGGAAACTGTGGCCAGAGGAAAAGCCCCAGAGGCACCCAAAAAGAGTGCTCTGAGCTCAGGGGCCCGAAGAGGTATGTGTTCTTGGGAAGAGGGGATTCCTAGGCCGCAGAGGGATTGGCCTGGAGGTATCCGTGTCCCTTTTGGCATTCCGCTTTGTCTCCAGACTCTTCAGGGCCCACTTCAGGAGCCCCCTCTCCGGCCATCGCCCGTCGGTCCAGGGCTACAGCCTCAGAGGTGGGACTCCCTCGACCATCTACGAGTGCGAGGCCGCGGCCCCTGTTGGAGGCGTCCAGGAAATCAGTGGGGAGTGCTGTAGAGTCCCTGGCGGCAGCGTCCAGGAAATCAGTGGGCAGTGCTGCAGACCACTGTGCTACGGAGCCCAGCCCAGGCACCAGGAGGAGACCCAGCGCTGGTGTCGGCCTCCAGAAGCCGCCCTCGCGTCCCCTGGGCTCCAGTGCTAACCCTCTGTCCTCCCCAGCCCGCTCTGGGACATCTCCCCGCGGAACACTCCGGGCTCCTGCGTATACCTCGCAGCCCAAATCGAAAGGGCAGCAGGCTCTACGCCCCCCGCAGGCCGCAATCCCAAGAAAAGAGGCAGCCTCTGTGCAGGGTCTGCTTTCTACTTCTTTGGCCAAGCCTTCTCCACCTGGTGCCACCGCCGGACAGCCACCGTCTCCTCACGTGTCAGGGACTCCTCAGCAGGCCACACTCCCTCCCTCTCCACCCACAACGCCCCCTCCATCCACCTCTCTCCATCTTCAGGCCCTGCCCTCCCCTCAGGCCACGTCCAACTCACAGGACCTAAACAGTCCATTGGCCACGGCCCTCCCACTATCCCCTTCTGCTCCTCTCTCTCTGGAGACCCTCCCCTCCCCGCCGGCCACGCCCCCCTTGCAAGCTCCACCTACACACCCTGGTGCGTCCTCTTCAGAAGAAGCATCCATCGCTCTCCTGCGCAGAACAGCATTCTCTCCATCGGTTTCACCCTCTGTACAGAATGTGGTCCCCACCCAGGTTTCTTCCGTTTTCCCCCCTATTCCGATTCCCTTGTCCACATCTACTTTGTCTGCTTCTCTACCTTTAGCCACATCCCCTCCAAAAGTCCCTCCTCCAGTATCTCCGCAGAATTTGCCTTCTCCCCTTGCCACGCCCTCTCTGTCCACCTTTTGCACTCTGACCACGCCCCTTCAGCAGGTCAGTCCTTCTCTGGCTCCGCCCCATCAACAGGCCACGCCCTGTAATCTGACTACCCAAGACCCTTCTCTTGTGGCCGTACCCCCTCTACAGAGTCCTCCAGTTTCTCCTCCCCTGGTCACGCCCTCTCCACAGGCTCCGCCTTGCCTGGCATCGCCCTCTTCCCTGGTCAAGCTTCCTCTGTGCACCCCACCTTCTATGACCTTGCCTTCTTTACAGGCCATTCCCTCTCCCGTGACCATGCGACCTGTATTGGCCTCACCGCCACTGCAAACCACTCCTCCTCTGGTCTTGTCCCCTGTGCAGGTCCCATTTTCTGTTGGCTCACCCCCTCTGCAGGCCACACCTTCTTTTCTGCCTACACCCCCTATGCAAGCCCCATCTTCTCTGACCTCACTCCCTTTGCAGGCCCCTTCTTCTCCACCTGCCACATACTCCTTGCCCCTTCCCTCTCCTGCCTCGCCCCCTCTGCAGGCTCTTCTATCTCCTCCTGCCTCATCTCCTAGACAAGCTCCTCTTTCTCCCTCAGCATCACCTCCTCTATTTCCTTTGGCTACGCCCCCTCCACAGGCCCCACCTTCTCTGGTCTCGCCCCCTCCCTCCCCCCTCACTACGCCCCCTCCACAGGTCTCGCCTTCTTTGGCCTTGTCCCCTCTGCAGGCTCCGTCTTCTCCCCTGGTCATACCCATATCCCCCACGCAGGTCCCCCTTTTGGTTTTGCCCCCTCTGCAGATCCCGCCCTCTCCCCTGACCACGCCCCCCGCGCAGGCCCCGCCTTGCCTGGCCTCGCCCCTTCTGCAGGCCCCTTCCTCTCCCCCTGCCTCACCCCCACTGCAGGCCCCACGCCGACCCCCGACCCCAGGTCCAGATGCCTCCATCTCGGGCCCACGGCTGACTCTGGCGCTGGCTCCAGCCCCGCCGCCACCACCTTCGCGCAGCCCGTCCAGTACACTAAGTGGCCCGGACCTGGCCGGGCACAGCAGCAGCGCCACTAGCACCCCCGAGGAGCTGCGCGGCTACGACAGCGGGCCCGAGGGCGGCGTCGCAGCCTCCCCGCCCGCAGACGCAGAGCTCGCCGCCTGCCACCCGGCCGCCTGGAGCCGAGGTCCTGCTCCGCCGCTGGCAGTCCGCTGCGCCCCAGGTAAGGGGGCTGTCCACGCCAGGCTGTGGGCGGGAAAGCCTGTATCCCAGCTCCGGGGTGGGGCCATTGTGTCTGGGGGTGGGGCTGATGAAATGGGTGTGGTCTTAGACGGGGCGGAGCTTCCTTCTTCCTCTGCCCAGCCCAGCGTTTTTGCAGGAGTTCCTTTGCCGTGGACTCCTTCTGCGGGCCCGGGCTCCGCTGACGGCCTGTGCACCATCTACGAGGCTGAAGGGCCCGAGTCGGCGACCCCTACTCCAGGCGAATTGGATCCGGGACCCGGGTCTGGCGCCGGCTCTGGGAAGGTGGGGGCTGGGGCGGGGGCGGGGGCGGGGGCGGGGGCGTCCTCGCGGGGCCCGAAGCCGGCGCGCCTGGGTGAGCTGCCGCTGGGGGCGCTGCAGGCGAGCGTCGTGCAGCACCTGCTGAGCCGGACGCTGCTGCTGGCTGCGGCCGAGGGTGCCGCGGGAGGCAGCGGCGGCGGCGGCCCAGGGGGTGAAGGGGGTGGTGGCATCACGGGGGGTTCCCGGGCTCCGCTCAGCGACGCCGAACTGGGCCGCTGGGCCGAACTGCTGTCTCCCTTGGACGAGTCCCGTGCCAGCATCACCTCGGTCACCAGCTTCTCCCCGGACGACGTGGCCTCTCCACAGGGTGACTGGACTGTGGTGGAAGTGGAGACTTTCCACTGAGCCAGACATCAGCTCTGCCCACCACACCTACTCCTGTTTTAGGATCCGCCCCTCCGGTTACGCCCCTTTTGTCTTAGACCCCTCTTCCCCAACTCTTAGGCCCCGGCTTTCGTTGAATGGTTTTATCCCTAGAGCCCAAGTTTTTGGGTCCAGGCTTGGTCCCTGTCTTTGGCTTAGGCTCCGGACCGACATCTTGGTTTAGGCTCTCCCCTCGAGTTCGCCCGTTTGGGTTAGGACACGCTCCTACTCTCTCTTGAGTCCCGCCCTGCTCACCTCGGCCCCATATTCAGTGCATTGTCCACTCAGCGCAGCTCGAATTTGCAATAAAACCCGGACATTGGAGCCTTCGCGCCCTCGCTGTAGCCGCGGGCGCCTGGGCTTGGGAGCCTCCAGCGGGAGGCCGACCAGCGCGAGAGGCCGGGCCAGGCGGTGCTGGCGGTGCGGTTGGCCCTAAGAAGGTCGGAGCTCCGGCTGAACCTCAAAGCTTTTCTTCGACGGAAAAGAAGGGGCAGGCGAGGTGGGTCTAGGGCGAGGCCCTACCAAGTCGCTCCCATTCCGTGTGTCGCACATCCTGTGGTTTTCTTAAGCTTGTGTTTCTTCGGGTTCGACTTCTGCTAGAAACGCTAGAGTAAATGATTCAGTGTGCGTGGTCAAGGTGGATCCACCGAAGGTCTTCCCACACTTCAACACAAGGAAACTGGCATTCCTGGGGAACAGGCGGGAAGGGCTTGGGCGGGGCGAGGACTCCCCGGGGACTCCTGTCCACGGTCCCTCAGCCCAGTATGCACCCCCTTACCTTGCATGATCTCTACATAGGGCTGTACTTCAGAGTGAGGCTGGAGGCGGGAGGGAGGGTCCTCAGGCTTCAGCTGTTCCCTCTGCCTCCCTCTTGACTCCGGGCGCTCTCGTCCATTGACTAAGGAGACTGCAGTGTTCAGAAGGCAGGCCAGCAACCTGCCAAAGGCTCCTTAGAAAGACCCTCCACAGATGTAAGGTCCTGAATGGACTGACCTGGTTGGAGCCTGCAGAGAAGAAGTGGCTATTCCTAGGGCCGTGTGGGAGACTGGGTAGTCCTCATTGTACTACGATATGCATCCCACCCCCATGGGCATTCTTGTCCTGTCCCCTACTTGAGGCATCTTAATCAGGCTACCAGACCGACATCAGAATTCCTCCCCTCCAATCCAGTCATCCTGATCCTGGAGTCCCTCAAGCCCCAGTCCAGGCCCCTCTCTTGTCCCTAATGGCCTTTCTTCACCAAGGATCTCTCCTGGTTAACACCAAAACTAGGGAGGCATTACCAGGTGGGCAAAAACAGTGGGACCTGGTGTCGGGCCCTCAGCAATTTCTGCCCTTGGTTCCCATCCCCTTAGTCCACCTTGTATCCAGGTTCTTATCAGGCACCCAAGTTGTGCCTGTGCCCATCCTGAAATATAGCCACTTCCCACTCTACAAAGAGAAATGAGTTCTCAGAGGGGCATTGCTACCTCCACTGTGAGAAGCCAACAGAGGGTTGGAGAAGGAGGAGGCCAGCATGCTTCTGCACTGAAACTGAGATTTGTGATAAAGCACAGATTTCCACTCTAGATGGGTGGAGAGCAGACCTCGTTGTTCCCAGACTCTGAGACAATCCAAAGGGAAGGGCAAGGCAAGCTCCCCTGAGGGAGTAGGGCAGAAACTCAAGACTTGTCCCTGGGGCCCCCTCCAGTGTCCCACATCCAGTCAGCAGGGTAGAATTAATTACTCTGTGGCAGCAGACTGTTAAATCTGTGTGATGGGAATGGTGCCTGTGGCCTGTGATGGACCTGACTGTTCTGACATGTAAAACCATGTGGTACTTGGCTGCTCAGCATCTCTGAGCAGCAGTGGGGCCACTTTGGGGGCCCATACTGGTGCAGACGGCAGGGACTGTGCTGGTGTCTGCCTGGAGCCAATTAAGTTTCTGCCCCTCAGCAGCCTTCTATCCCTGGCTCTGCCCTCCATGTGCCAGCTGGCACTCAGCCTCAGCTCTAGGGGAAATCCCACAAAGGACTCTGCCTCTTGGGCCCTCTTCTCCCCAGGGAGCCTCTACTCACTATCCCCACTGCCTGACTCAGTTTGGTTCCTGATGCACTGTTCTCCATGACTCTCAACCCTGTGGCCTATTTGATGGTGTCCTTCTCCCCTAAACCCTCTGTTTTTTTCCCCCAGTACTGGGGTTTGAACTTAGGACTTGGGGCTAGACAGGTACTCTACCACACCCCCGGTCCCTTTTGCTTTTATTTTTCAACCGGGGTTTGGAGTATCTGCAGTGGCCAGCCTGGACCACAGTACAGCTACCTATGCCTCCAGTAGCTGGAATGACAGGCTCATACCACCATGCCCAGCTTTATTGGGTAAGATGGGATCTCATTTTTTGTCAACACTGGACTTGAACCACAGTCCTCCTCATCTCTGTCTCCCTAGTAGCTGGGATTAGAGGTGTAAGCCACCATGACTGGCCCTTCATTTTATTTATTTATAGTTTTTGAAATTGGGTCTTGCTATGCAGCCCAGGCTGGCCAGATTCTACTCGACATCCTCCTGAGTGCTGGAATTACAGATGTGTACCAGCACACCCAGAAAAAGGCCAGAACTCTTGATCCTGATTTGAGTGGTAACACCAATGATCTTGCTGATCTGGCCACATCCAAGTTCTGCTCCTTCTTTTCAGGCAACCTGTCCTTCCCCGCTGGTCCTTGTGACATCTGGCCTTTATGCTTTTGCCCTTGGAGAAGCCTCTCACACCATCTCCTCTGGGAAGCCTTTGATTTTTTTCTGCACAGTTGTCTATTTGGACTTAGCACATTAGTGGCTGCCACCCTCCTCCCCCCAGTGCCTGTCTCTACTACAATGGGGGCTCCTCAGAGTAAAACACAGGGCAGAACACCCCAGAAGGAGTGAATGAATGCAACCAGATCCTCTCTTCTTGAAGGCAGAAATCCTGCATGTCTCTCAGGGCATTCAGTACAGTCACACCCTGCCCCAATATTAACACTCTTCTACCCCTAAGGCCTTGCTCACACCAACTGTTGAAAGTCCTTTTCTCTCCCATGCGCCAGCCACTCCACAGGAAGCTCCTGAGGACAAGGATGGCCCAGCTCGATAGCCCTCTTTTGGGGGCCAGGGACTAGGCACCCATAGCTGCTTGTGATTTCCCCCCACCCCAGGCCTGCCCCACTCAGCGCCCCTTGTCCATGACTGTGTAAATACACTTTATTTTCCATCTTTCCCGCCTGGGTGACATGTGGAGTGTGAACAGGCAGTGTGCAAAAATGGTGGTGGGCAGTGTGGGGGGCACAGAGAAGGGCCCCACAGGTGCCCGGCCTGGTCCCCAGGCTTTGTAACACTGAAGAGTTGGCCACCAGGAAGGTGGAGTGAACAGGGGTCCCCATCCCAGGAAGCGCTGGGGAGAGTGCTTGTGACACTACTCAAGGCTCAAGGAGCACCGTGTGGGTCAGCCCCCAAGGGTCAACCAGGCCCCTGGCTGTGGGGAGGAAGGGGTTTGGGGGATATTGTTGGACTTTGGCACCGTTTCAGCTCTGACTTAGCAGAGACCACGGGACCACTCCCAGAAGGTATGGGGAGGCAAGCTCCACCTGTGGGGCCCTGCCCTGGTCTAAGGGTAGGGCTGGGAGCACAGGAAGGAAGGGAATAAATGGAGGCTAAGGACCTCCAAGGAGAGGGCACCCTTTCATCCCTGACAAAGAAGGGGTATGTAAGTTATCTCCCAGAGAAAGATGGAGGCTGCTGGGGAGAAAGATCTCTCCTCTTTGCAGCTTCTCTGGCCCCAGAAAATCAGGGTGACAGCGCTCAGGCCCAAGCTGGTTCTCATGACAACTCACAACCCAGGTGGTCCTGCACACAGGAGGAAGGACTTTGGTTTCTGCTGCAAGGGGCCAGGGATGCCTGCACCAGGCAGGAAAACCCAGCCTGGCCTTCTGTCCCCAACAGTCAGGGGTTGGCTGGTCAAGGGTCACTGTGTTCAGAGTGCGGTTGTGGGGTGCTAACATCCAGCCCTGGGGTACCCCTCCTTCCTCAGACCTCTTCTAGCTCCTGAGCACTTCCCAGCAGGGCTGCCCTCGTCCTGGGGGAAGCCTGCTGGGAGGAGGAACTTCCTGTTCTTCCAATTCTGGGATCTCTGCGTGTCTGCCCCCCAGCCCTTGCTGTTAGGAGGGCAGACTCTCCAGGTAACTGGCCTAGGCACCCCTTGGACATTTGCAGGAGGGGTACGGGCCAAGATGGGTAGACACTGCTGGACAGGGAGAGCCTGCCCGGAGGCCCAGCCCTCTGCACGCTGCCTTGCTAGCCTGGCCCTTGGTAGACGGAGCCACAGAGGCATGGAGTTCCTTAGTGCGGAGGGCGGGCAGAGCAGCGGGCCACCAACTGCTGCGGCGCCGGCGGCTGAGGCCTCCCGGCTTCCAGCGCACGCGCCCCTGCCTCAATTGTCCAGGCCCTGGCTATAGGGCGCCGCTAGCTCATCAGCGTCGCTGTCAGAGCTGCCCTCGCTGTCCTTGGCTGGCCGCTCCAGACGGCGGAAGAAGCGCGCGTCGCGCGGGGACAGAGGGTAGAGAGCGTCCTGTAGGGCCGCGCCCACGCCCACGCCGAGCAGCTCCTCATCCGACGACGGCAGCGAGTCCTCATCCAGGTGCCGCGCCAGGCTCAGCCCGTCAAAAGCCAGCGGATCCTCGAAGGGTGGCGGGCCCTTCAGCAGCCGCACCTGGGGCGGGGGACCGGCGCGCTGGAGGGGCGGACTGACGGACCCACGAGGGACTCCTGTGGTCAGGCACCCTCCTCCCTCGCCCTCCTAGCTAGCTTCGTCCTCTTCACTGCGCCGACGCCTGGCCTGTCACCCGCTTCCCCCGCGCGGGCCGGTACTGCCCGGCGCTCACCTCGGCCTTCAGCTCCTCGATCTGGTCCTTGAGCTCGCGGATGTACTGAGACGAATCCGAGTGGTTCAGCTGGCCCTGGATGCGACCCTCCTCCCTCTGGGGGGCGGGCCAGGGCACCAGAGGTCAGAGCAGGGCCAGCCCCCCAGCATCCCCCCACCTCGCCTCCTTCCCGCCACTCACCTGGATTTCGAGCTCTGCGATGCGCTGCCTCATCTCCGCCACCGCGGCCATGCTGTCCGCCTCCCGCAGGCGCACGGCCATCACCTCCTCCTTGCTCTGACAATAGAGGACGGAGGGCGAGTCAAGAGGGTGACAGGGTCCGGGGCGGGGTCGCGGGGGCCAGGGCAGGGGTAGCACCTTGTACTCGGCCTCCGCCTGCTTGCGGCGGCTTTCACTGAGCTGCGTCTGCAGCCCCTTGTTCTGCGCTGCCAGGTACTGCAGCTTCTCCTGAAGCGCCACGCGCTCCGCCTCCACGCGATTCAACAGGTTGCGGTGGATGTTATCCTAGAAAGGAGCACAGGAGGGCGCACCACCGGGGGTCACGGCCTAGCCAGGGGCCCTGGCCCAGCCAGGGGCCTAGCTGCCGACCCTGTGCAGGCGCAGCCCACCTGCGTCTCGAGTTCCACCACGCGCTGCCGCAGTTCGCGGCCCTCGGCCAGGGCCTGCGCTTCGCGCAGACGAACGCTCATCAGCTCGTCCTGCACCTCGCTCAGGACCAGCTTCCGCGGGGACTCCTTCCAGCGGCCGCCACGGGACAGATGGGCCTGGGGAGATGGTGTCCGAGGCCGGCGATCAGCCTCTGCCGGGGAGGAGGGCCGAAGTGCGGCCGCTGGCCGTCTTTGAAGGGACCACCAGAGGAGGTGCACCCGCCACTCCATGCGCCTAGGGCTGGGGCGCTCTGTCCGCTCTGCCCACCTGGCCCTCACCTGCCAGGCATCGGAGAGCTCCTGCAGCTGCAGTTTCAGCTCTCGCGCTGAGGCTACGGCCTCGCCCTCCCGAACTTTGAGCGCCTTGAGCTCCTCCTGCAACCGCGCTACGTTGTTCTCGTCAGGCAGCGAGCTGTTCCTCTGAGGGGAAAGAGGGGGTCATGACCCAGGGCAGCTGTGCAGTCACGTGGCCCTGCCTGCAGGATCAACACCCTCAGCCTCGTTTCGCGGAGCTCCACCGTGGGCAACTTAGCTGGAGGAGGGTGGCATCCTGGACTACAGGATACACAAGGGACAGGGACCAGGCCCAGGGGAGAGGCCCTTACTAGGTAACCCCAGTCAGGGTGTAAGATGGGTTGTCTTAGGGCAACCCCTTACATTGTGGGCCCTCCATAAATGTTACTGCTAGTAACACTAGGCAGGAGGGAGGAGCCAGGGGTGAGGCCCTGGCTTCCTTACCCCGCCCCCCACCTCCTCAGAGCCCATCACCAGCCCTGGGATCTGCCACAGCAGGGCCTGAGAAGGTGGGTGCAACCTCCCATGCTTTCCCCAGGCCAGGCCAGGTAGCCCCTCCAGCCAGGAACAAACAGGCTGAGGGGCAGCCTATGTTCTGTGCTGGTGTCTCTAGGACTCAGTGATGGGTGATTTGTGTACTAGTTGCTTGAGCCAAAATCTTGTGTTGGCCTGACCCTGGTTTGGTTCTGGGCATGGGAGGCGGGACAGAAGGTCTATGGGATGCACACTTCCCTCCAATGTGGAGGAAGGAGTGGGGGAAGCTCAACTGTTAATGGAGGCTGAGAGTTGAGGCTGACAGGCAGATGGTCCCTCCCATAGCTGTGGCAGCCATTGCGGGTGTGTGTGAGTGTGTGTGTGTGTGTGTGTGTGTGTGTGTGTGTGTGTGT